ACTTTATTTGTTTAATACAACTTGGAGAGTCGTTAATGCTAACTTAGAACTTTTTATTAAATATAACAACGTATTAAAAATTCTTCTCTCGTCAAAAATACATATATCCCTTTGCGGTCCTTATCACACATTCTTTCTTCTCAAAGCAGTATAACACCAACGTGTGCTATTTAATTGTGAACGCCTTAAATGAAAACTTAACCAACATTTACCCATACCTTATATGGAAACACTTTTATTCCTTTGAAAGAAAACAGTCAACTAGAACGATAACAAAACGCCTGATGATTGAATTCTCAAATTTCTTTGTTTAATACAACTTGGAGAGTTGGTAATGCTTACTTAGAACTTTTTACCATTTGATTCGCATCAGTGCTGATTACTTTCATCTTCAAAGTGAAATCTTACAGATTACTATTGTAGTGTTGGTTGTCCGAAAAATCTTCTTACGACAGCAAAGCCGGAATAAACCTTATGCTGAGCTTAACTACTTTCACTCCATAAAACAGAGAAATCCCGGAGACTTGTAAAGCTTCAAGACCTCACTCCTGCAAAATATATATTTTAGAAAACATCTCTAAATTTTCTGACATTTCATGAATTAAAAGAGAGGGTAAGTTCAGTGGTGCTGGGTCAGTGGGGAAGTATAACAAGACAATTAAGTTATTGTATTTTATATACATGTAGGTCTAAAAGGATATTAATATTGTTAAGAAAAGAAAGCCCTCTTGTGTTTACGGGAAGAGCTCTTGATGGACTTACTTGACCATATGACAATTCAGCTTCTATTTTGTAGAGCTAAAAACATTGAACTGAATTATTTCTCACGTACTGATTCACCTTCTTTAATCTAGTGTCTATCCAGAATCATACAATACTAATGAAATAACGTTTACAACTGAAGATTCAGCCGAAACAAATGTACCAATGTTTTCTCAGGGACTGAGAAACTCCATCAAAATTTGCCAAAGCATCACAACACAGTTGTACCACGAAATGAACTGTCTCCCGCTGTTTGAATTAAACAAAATAACTACAAAACATTCCTCAGTCCTCGAAGAACCATGCGGGAAACACCTCTTTCGACATCTAAAAGAGGAACAACTAAGAAATTATCTCCGAACTTGTTTGCGCACTCAGTTCTTTTGCACCGAGGAGATCAACAGTTTTGTATAATTGCACGAGGTTAACTAACAAAACGCAAGGATTGTTAAACAAACTCCCCTCAATAAAATGAATTGAAACTACGGCTCATGGAAATTTTTTGACTCCACTTTGCATAACCGTCTTTCCTCCAAACACTTGAAATAAAACTATAACAAGGATAATCATCAGGAAAACCTAAACTGTTTTCCTTTCTGTTGTGGAAATGGNTTTTTAAAATGATCTCTTACTGTAATTTATATGCTAATTAAACCTATTAAATTAAAGTTGTGGAATTTAGGCTGTAGAAGTAGCTTATACAGATTGTCAGTTTATTAGCCTTCGGGTAATCTTTGCGTCTAGTAACAAGGTAATTTTGATTTTATCAACTGAGTTGATAATGTAAATTGCCACTGTAAAGAGTTTCAAAACACTCATTAACCAAAGCCAAAGTCATCAGATTGAGCTCATCCGGTTTACCCTGAAATAATATTTGCCCAAGGGCATGCAAAACCGCAAAAGTAAAAGCGAAATTATGTACGATTTGGCTTGAATCCAAAGTGTTATCGGCTCTTTGTTTCTAGACTTACCGAAAGTCTAGAAACAAAGAGCCTATACCACTTTGGATTCAAGCCAAATCAAAGTATACTCAGCAGGCCGCTGAGTATACTTTCTCTTCCGTAGAAAATAACTCAAGAGATAGGTCTCTCAAAACCTTCATCTTCGTATCCTCTCTTCCTTGGGCCTATGTTTAAACTCTGTACGTTTTTATTTATCGTGGAGCGTGACGAATTCGTTTTACGGAGGCGTAGGGAGTTTGAAGTCTTTAGGAAAGGAGAATGGAAAATTCTCGAATTGTAGTCATCCCGGGTTGTCCAAGAAATTTTCTAGAACAAGTTAGCAAAATCGGAATATACGTTATGGTGGGTTCAAATACTTTTCCTCTTCGAAGTGATATTATGTGGAGACCTTATCTTGTGTAAGAAAGCGTCTGACTTTTCTGACATTTTATCCTTTTGATGACTTGGTAGAATTGCAACTTGAAGTAATATAAATAATGACGCTTTTGTTTTCTCATCAATTAGAATAGACGTAAAAGCCTCGGTAAAGCTACGAGAACTTTCTACAAGCTCGTTACCACCATATTTGATCATTTCCTGATTCGCTTGACAGATCAGAACTGTTTTCTTTTTTTTTCCAGCGAATGGGCCCATGATCCAATGCACTTATGACTCTTTGCACAATAACTGTATCAAACTATCCTAAAAAGTCATCTCATCTTATTTCTTAGTCCTCTCGGAAATTTATAAAGAATTTCCCTTTATACCTTAACACAAGAAGATACCTGGGAAAATTCGAAACTGAAGTGTAACCGTAAAAGTAGAACCGACGGGAAAACCCCTTCATCAGCCGAATCCTTTACGGCTAAACTGACAAGTGGTGACATGAAAATTCTCGAG